CGAGCCGGCGGGCGCGGCCGCGGCCGCGGACGGTGGCGACGCCGACCCTGCTGACGAGGCGCCGCCGGGCTCGCCACCGGCGTCGCCCGCGTCGTCCGCCGCGGCGGAGGCGACGGCGGACGCGTTCGCCGCGCCCGGTGACGCCGTGCCGCAGCTGGGGGCGCCCGCCGACGGCGCCGCGGCTCCCGGCGAAGCGACGGTGGCAGCGCAGGCCCTGCTTGCTGCGCCGCCCGTGCCCGCCGACGGCGCGCCGGCCGCGGCCACCGCGCCGCCGGTGACGCCGCTGCTGAGCCTGACCCAGGTCCAGGCGCTGCTGACTCACCTGTGCGCCAACCTGTCGCGCGCGATGGTGCAGACAATCAGCAACTCGCTGTGGGCTGTTGTGGTGCTGCAGCATGAGCACAGCTGGTGCATGTGCGGCAGCCTGATGCAGGTGCAGCTGCTGCTGCACACGTTTTGCCAGCAGCCGCGCGAGGCGCTGCCCGGCCACATCCAGCCGGTCATCCGCTGCATGAGCCAGCTGGCGACGGCCTGCGCCGTGCACAACGGCGACGCCTGGCTGATGTGGCAGCCGCCGGTGCTGCAGCGGCTGCTGGGGCACCTCTTCTCCCAGCGCTCCCACATGGAGCAGCACCACGTGTCGAGCGTCCTGCGTGACGTTGCGCAGGTCGCCTGCCTGCTTATGCTGTTGCAGCGGCGCAAGCTCGAGGCTTCCGCGAAGGCAGAGGGGCGGCCGCCGCTGGGGCCGCGCGCGGCTGATGACATGCTCTCAGCGCTTGCGGCGGGCGCGGGGCCGCCAGACACGGCGAGCACGATGCTCGCGCTGGGCATGCTGCGGCCGCAGCTCAGCGACATGGGGCTGCTGCCCAGCGTGCAGCACCTGTGTGGCATGCTCTCTCTTATGGCCAGCCACAACCAGGTGCGGGTGCGACCCGCGATCGGGCCTTTTTCGGGGCACTGCTCGCACCCCTGTTTGTGCACAACCCATGCCGCTTTGCTGCAGCCAAATGCCACCGAACGAAGGAGACCCGTTCTTTACACCCGTCGCAACAGCCCAACAAACCAACGCCGCGATTCCAACCCTGGCGCTCGGCCGACCGACCGACTCCATGCAGGCTGAGCTGGACGGCCGCCTGACCGCCGCGGCCGCCGCCGTCGGCGCCGTGCCTGCAGGCGCAGACGTCAACAGGGCTCTGAGCGAGGATCCGCTTGCCGCGGGCCCCACCGCGTTCGCCCTGCTGACCGCGCCGCCGCCCCCGCCGCCCGTGGCCCCGGCGGCGGCGCCTGCGCCCGCGGCAGACGCGCATGCGCAGGCGCAGCAGGCGGGGGAGGGGCTGGGCGTGTTCTCTCAAGCCGCTGACCAGGCGGCCCGCGCTCTCGCTGGCGGCGTGGGGCCGGGCATCGGGCCGGGCGCCGCGGCGGGCGCCGGGGCGCTTCCGTCGGCCCCGACCGCCGCGGCCGGCAGCATCGGCAGCAGCAGCGGCAGCAGCGGCAGCCTGCCGGCGAACGTCGAGGCTGCGGCGGCGGCGCTGCGGCAGCAGCTCGCGCTCCAGTCGCAGCAGCAAGGCGCCGACAGCGGCACGGCGGCCGGCGGCCTGGGCGGCAGTCTACTGGTTGGGGGCGCCCTCTCGGCGCTCGGGCACCGCGCGGCGGCCTCCCCCGCGGCCGCCGCGCCGGCGCTGGCGCCCGCGATCCCGGCCCCCCTCACCCCGCAGCTGCAGCTGCTGCCGCACGCGGGCCTCCGCGCGGCGGGCCAGCCGGGCGCGCCGCCGCAGCCGCACCTGGCTGCGGCGATGATGGCGGGCGGCGGCATCCCTGGGCGCTACGGCGGCGGCGGCGCCGGCGGCTCGTTCGGCCCGCCGCCCGGGAGCAGCACGGACGTCGGCATGTCCGCCGACTGGGTGCACCAGGAGGCAGCTGCCAAGCAGCTGACGCACCACATCGTCAGCGCGGAGAGCGTGTGGGCGCTCGTCGATATCTACAATGCAAACAAGACTCTCATGGATTCGATCCACCTGACGGCCTGCATCACGAGGCTCTCCAAGGTCCTCGGCTCGCGCCCCGCCGCCAACAGCCCCGCCCAGGCGATGGCTGAGCAGCTCCTCCCCCAGATCGGCCAGCAGCTGACGCCGATGCTGCCGTCGTGCAACGCGCGGGGGCTCGCGAACGTGCTGTGGGGCTACGGGCGGCTGCGCATGCGGCCGGAGGACACGTCGCTGGTCGTGCTGCTGCAGCAATTCATAAAGCACCTTGCGGAAGCGACGAGCCGCGACTGCGCAGTTGTGCTGTGGTCGCTCGCGCGGCTGTCGGAGAGCCAGGCGGGCGCGGGCGTCGCGCCGGAGCTGCTGCAGCGGGTCGGCAGCCTGCTGCTGCAGCACCTGTGCAGCTTCTCGAACGCGCGGCCCGCGGCGGGCTCGCCGGCGCGCGACGGCGACGGCGGGAGCGCGCAGGGGCTCACCGCGCGGCTGGCCGCGGCGGGGGTGTCTGGGGGCTCCTCAGACTCTGTGACTGTCAGCCTGGACGCGCCGGCGG